TTGGGAAAGGGTTGGCACGCCGCCCCACCAACGCGCCAACAGAGAGGTCCTGTAGTTTGGGGCATGGAGCCCTACGCCAGACAGTGCGCCCCAACTACTAGCCTGAAGGATAGGAGTTGGCGCCCTGCGCCACTCAGTGCACCAGGGTCGTCTACCCCCACCCCTTCTCCTTCGTTTAGTCCATCTGAGTTCTTTCAAAGGGTACATTTACTCCCCTTTGATTCTAATCACTCTAAAACACTTCTAAACATCTAGAAATCATTCATAACATGAATCATAACCTTGAATCCATAATTCAAATTCAAGGTAGAGCTAAGAGTCAACTCTCGAGAGTTCTTTCGAGTCTTTTGAGAAGTCTTTTGCAAACCTTTTTAAACTTATTTTAAGACTGGAGCATCTGAGTTAGAGAAAGAATAGAGTTGAGTTCATTTTCTTTCAATGATATATGGGAACTAAGTATTCCCAAGAGTAAATATTTTCACATTTAAGATGAGAGGAAACACCAATTTCCAAAAGAGTTTTTGAGAAGTTTTGAGTACCATCTCTTTTAAGAGAAAGATTTTTGAGTAATAATATCAAACTACAGAACGAGTTATGTTTTAAACATATGATCTAGTTACATTTTGGGAGTAGTATTGAGCACCGATATGGGAATGAGTTCAGATAACTCAAAACTCCTCATAAATCATGTAGCCAACGTGGGTAGAAAGGGTCATACTTTTTTTTAGATGATTCCTTATTGCTTTTAAGCATAGACTAGTGGATCCACTTAATAGTAGGTTCTATACCCCGGCAAAGTATAGGACAGTTCTGATAGTGTGGGCTAGACGTTGTATAATCACTTAGCTCATAGTGATGGTTGTCGGTTAGAGAACCTCCCACACAGAGTTTATTTTGTATTTATATATACAAGCAGAGTTTATTTTGTATTATTGCATATAAACTGAGATAAATTGTATTTTTTAAATACATGAAGTTGTTATCTACTGTTTTAAAAGCTTTTCTTTATAATGCATCTTTACTACTGCTTTATATTGAAATGAGTTGAGTAAGTTAATTTGAGACGAGATAAGTTGTTTCTTCAGTTCCAGTTCAAGCTTATGTCTTGTTTAGATTTCCACTCACATGTTCATACATTCCATGTACTGACGCCATTTGGCATGCATCTTTTATGATGCAGATACAAGTGACTAGGATCAGAATCCAGCGCTTCGTTGATCCAGTTGAGTTCCAGATTTGATATTTCAGTTTGTTAGGATGATCGAGGTCCTTGTCCCGACATCCCTTATAGTATTAGAGGCTTCATAGATAGATAGACAGTAGTTCAGTAGTTCATGAGTCTTTCCATTTTCAGTTGTTTCAGTTGAGACTTGAGTTGCCTCTTTGGCCAGTTGAATGTTTCTTTTAAACATTCTGAGTTTATTATATGAGTTTATCTTTTGAGTTCTTTTAAATGTTGAGTAAGTCTTCCGCTAAGAGTTGAATCAGGCTAAGGGTTCGCTTGGGCCATCAATGGTTCTCGAGTGCCCGTCGCGCCCGGGGTGTAGGCTCGGGGTGTGACAGAGAGAGACAAATAAAGTATTTTTTTAAAAATTGTTTTTACTGATTTTGTAGATCAAAAGAAAAAATTAAATTGTAACAAAGAATTTTTTTGTGAATAGTAATAATAAATTATGATAATAAGGAGGAGAGATAAATAATTTATTATTATTTAAAAAAACTATAAAAATAGAAGGCAAAAAAAAAATTTAAGAATAAATAATAAATTAGACTCCTTCGTCCCTTTTATTTATCAAATTTTGACCTAACACACCTCTTAAGAAAATATTGATTGATATAGTGAGTTTACCATGTTACCCCTATTAATTGATATGATCCCAAATATATATTTACTCACTACTCCCTCCATCCCATATTATTTGATTACTTTTTATTTTACACTGTCCTTAAGAAATCATAAATAAGAAGATAATCTTACTAATTTACTCCTTAAAAAACTTCTTGGGAATCTTACAAACAAATGTAAACACTTTCAAAAAGAATTAATTGCAAGGGAAATATATAAAAAATTTAATGAATGCATTCTTAATTTAGTAAGATGGACAACTAATATGGAACAACTATTTTTAATATAATGATCAATTAATATGAGACAGAAGGAGTATATTTTTTAAAGATATTAACTCAATGTTAATAAATTGAGAGTATAATAGAAAAAAATAATTATTCTTTTTTAATTTGTAAAAAATAGATAAGTAAAAAAAGACATCAAATTAGAAAATATTTGACAAGTAACTAGGGACGGAGGGAATAATAATGATGAAGAGAGATGAAAAACAATAAATTGTAGGAATGACGGGGAGAGAGATAAATAAGATGAACATATTTATCATAATCATAATATAAAGGTGAATACTATAACTATGTTAAAAAAAATATTAAATTAAACTTTTTCTTTGATTTTTTAACATAAAATATAAATAAGAAAAAAATATTTGAAAAGTCGAAAAGGAGAAAAAACATAATTGTCTCCTCCAGTCCTATGACTGTTTTGACCTTCCTTTGCTCCTGTCGGCGGGATCAGCCAGTGTCCCCGTGTGTAAGGCCCTTTCCTGAAAGAGGTCGAATAGTTCATGTCCCCTCCTATCTTCCCCTTGTTGAAGAAGGGTTGCCGTAATGGATAAGGTTCAGGAGGTTACCGGAGCCATTGGGGCTTCCTCTTTCCCTTTAAAATAAAAGCGGTGAAGTTCATAATGAATAAACTCCCGGATGAAGAAAAAATATCCCCTCCCTTTTACTAAGCCATGGGGAGCCCCGAGAGGATGCTGGCTGATTTTCGGGTGTACTCATATTGAAAACACCTGACTGAATATTCTAGGTTGACTTCGCCGAGACACGGCCCGACTCCCACGGGGTCAGCAGTGGGGAATCTTGGACAATGGGAGAAAGCCCTCCAGTCCTATGACTATTTTGGATCATTTTATATGTTATAAGTTATAACTTATTTTTAAAAAAAAGAAGAGGAGAGATAAAATGACTTTTTAAAAAAAAGAACTTTAAAAATAGAAGGTAGAAAAAGAAATTCAAAAAAGTAATAAATTATAGTAATTAACAATGAGTAAAGATTTAAAAATAATAGATTGTAGTAATAGTGCGGAGAAAGAAAAATAAAATATTTGAGATCTATTTTGTTTTCAAAATTTATAAATAAAAATAAAGAAAGTAATTAAGGAAAAAGAGAATTTTTTTGAATAAGAATAATCAATTATGGTAATAAAGATGAGAGATAAATAAGATTTTTTATTTTTAAAACTAAATATATTTTGAATAATTCTTTTTGTGGATTTTATAAATCAAAATAAAGAAGAAAAATTCAAAAAATGACCAAAAAAAAAAAAGAAAGAAGATAAATGATAATCCTGACTAAAGTGAGATACTACATCATTCTTTTACTAGCCACTTTTATATTTTTCTAAATTGTGATATCAAATCTTCAATTATAACTTTAAAATAAAGATCAACATATAAAAAAAAATTCATATTTAGGTGTATTGCAATATAAATTTAAAATTCCTCTTTTTTATACAATATTTTTCGTTTATTGTGCATTGATATGATGAATTTGTTTGTTTTGTTGATGATATGATTATGCTTATTTGACAAGTTTATCTTGTGTTGCAGCTTTTTTCAATTTTCTACATTGAATGGATGAATTTCCGACGATTATTATGTATGAAAAATGTTGAAAAAACTATTTTTTAATATAAAATTTAGCTCTACCACTTTGTTACAATAAACCTTCAGCTGGATAATCATTTGTGAAATTAACTCTTTTCATTCTGTTTAAAAAGTCAAACACTTCCTATAATATATATTAATATTGTATTTTACATTTTTTCACACTACATTGAATTATTTCAACTATTATTATTACATTGCTTAAAATGCGATTTAGTGATAATTAAAACTTGAAATTTAATCCATTTGAATTTGAAAACTCGAAAGGATCCTTAAAATATTTTTGATATTCACATATAACAAGTGATTTATTTTAAATATTTAATTGAAAAAATTTCTCATCGCGCGAAGCGTGAACAAATCCACTAGTATTAAATATTTATGATAATCATCATTAAGGTTATGCACATAGTAAATTTCAAATACGAAAAGAAAAAAATATATATATTTAAATGGTGCCCATCAAACGGAATTTACGAAACAACCTACCATTACAGAATTCTTCGCCAAACTTAAAATTTTAAAATTTTCAATGAAATTTAAATTCATATATTCCTTAAACTAGTTATGGATTTATTAGTAATGTTTTACTCTTTTCAATTATTTATAAATGAAATATAAAAATCAACAAGATTCTAAATTCAACAAGTATTTTGTTTTCATTTATAACATAAAAAGTACAAAAAGATAATTTTGCATACTTTTGTTTATAACAACTAAATGACATCAAAACATCAAATGTTAGTATACATATATAGAAGCCATGGAGTTTTAAGATAACGGTTGTTGTCACTATATAAAGGTTTAACCATTGCTACTTTATGTAGTTATTTAATATTAAGGGTGGATAATATGAAAAAAAATATAATAAAACTTTCCTGATTTGCTAAAATGAAGAAGTAAACTAAAACATCTAAATTTCTAAGTTCTTCTTTACTTGAAAAGGTAATCTAGAAAAAAAAAATGAGTATTTTTTATAAGAGCTAAGTGAAATGAAATAGAGGGAGTGTATATGTGTCTCTTTCTCAGGAAAATTTTACCAAAATTAACTTAAAAATCAAACAAAACGAACAAGAACTCCTGAACAATAGCGTGGGAAAGAAGGGGAAAAGGGAAAAGCGAAAGTACAAGTGTCTAGATGAACAATGAGAGATGAATGAGAAGATGCAAAGTTTTGGTTCTTTTCGTACATGTCTTTTTCCTATGTTTCATTTTATAATTCCTTTTAAATTATGTGTCAGCGTTTGTGTCACACATATAACTAAGTAGTTAAAAAAGTAGTTAAAATATTGTGTTCCGCTGGATTTAAGTATTCAGTTGACAAAAAGGTTAAGTAGAAGGATTCAAAATGCAAAATCATACAAATACAAGGATGGACATCTACACACCATTTTACCTTGGAATAATAAGCATAAGTACAAAGACTCATCTACATACCATTTTGCCTCAAAATAATAAAAGTTGAGCTAAGTTGTTCTGTGCATGCCTCTGAGATGGAAAGGAATGGAAGCTAAAGTTTTTATACAATAAGCCTCAAATTAAACCTTTGCAGAACCTCACGCAATATAAAAAACCTTACTTTAGACTTTGATTGCCCCAAGATGCTGCCAAAAGTTAAAAACATCAACCATTTAGCTTCAAAAATATACACATCTATGAAGACGAATTTCATCTTTCATCAAAAGTGCATGTCTTCATTATTTATTTAATCTAATAATCCATTACTAGTGTCATTTTAGTTATATGACCTTTTCACTGGAAATGAGTTAAAGAACTATAAAAACCACACAATTTTGTAGTAATCTTTGTTCTATTCAAATTATAATTATAAGTTGGAGATCATCTTCTCACCACATTTTGTTGCACATGGAATGCTAACTCACTATGACACATTTCCCTCAATTTATAGATGGATAGATAAAAAGTAAAGCAAAGCATCTAATGCACAAGTTAATAATGTGACTCAAGGAAAATCAACCTGGTACGACTTTGCCTATCAGCAATCGTTCAAGCAAATGTCAACCCCTAATATACTTAAATTTGGCACAAGAATTGGAAGCTTGTAATCGAGACGTGATTCTCCAAAAGTTAATCATCCTGAGAGATAAAAAGCCTGCCATAAAAGAAATTGCACATTTTATGGCCAGCATACCATAATATCCCAATAAATATGCTGTCATCCTATGATGATTTTACAACCAAATAATCATTTTTGTTTCCCTTGCCTACTCTAAGAGGTTCATTCTGCTTAAAAAATTGTAAATGCAGCTTATTACAAAAAAATTGCTATCTTCCAGGCTCTGGCTCTACTACAATGAGAGATCAGGCTGAAATGATGAATTGCAAAAAATCAATGAATCCACCTTCTATAGAAAGTTTTAACAAAATTCCATAATAAACATATCCTGATTGTTAGTTACTTTCACTATGTCAGTGGACATCCAATAAAATTGGAAGTATACTTGCTTTCACAATGTCAATGCTTTCTGAAGTTGCAAAAGCCACACTGCTATATGCATTACGCAAAGCCGGCCTTCCAACAAAATCTTCTGTATCCAAAAATTGATCCAAGAAAATAATGATCTCTTTTGCAACAACATAGACTCAAGAACGGCTTCAGATGAAACCCTTCCAATGATTAAGAATGACTCAAGAGAAGGCCCTTGAATCTGTTGATAAAGAATGAAAGAAATATCAGTTGATCATTGCTGAAGTCACGTTAGAAATAATTCACAAGATGCTTCATGTGACATACAGGACCACCAACAAGAATAGGAATGGAACAAATCCTTTCAAGAATTCGCAAATACTTTCATCTATTAGTAACTCAAAAACCAGCTATTTTGCATACTTCAATGTAGCACAACCATTATGACTAAAATAAAATCTTTTGGGAAGACGAGGGAGGGAATTGCTTAGAGGTCAGGATCTTCCACCTCTAGAGTTCTCACCAAGGAACAAAGTGAAAACATGACATATTGGGCTCAGGATTTTGGGGAATGGACTTGACCATATCAAAAATAAGAAACAAAGAAAAAAAATAAACCTTTTGGATAACGGCAGGAAGTTTTTCCTCTATTTGCTGGCTCAGGACGGTGGACAGTTAACTAAATGTCTAAACAATAAGGGTCCACAAGCATCAAATATCTTATTTGAATAAGTTGGTTGACAAATCCAATAAAAGAGGGTTCTCAGAGTTTGTAAGATTTTCATGCTAGTATAACCATATGAATAGTAGCAAAAATAAACTCATACCAATGACCCATTAACTGCTCGTAAGCAGTCATTTGTCTTGAGCATTAGAAGAATAACCCGGGGCAATCTCCTCAGAAGTTCAGTGATTTGCGGAAAATATTGAGAAGCATACATCTGCATAACAACATAAATAGTTGACCAAAGCAAATGATATTAGAAGTGATTCGAACCTTCATTGAGAGCAAACTTACTAGGAAAAGTTAAATATATAAGAGGATACTTGGTTATTTACAAGGTAAAATAAGGACTTCTCTGTCACAAATCATTTTCTCTTCCATTTTATTTCAACATAGACCAAACACAGGAGGAGCACAGGCAAGAAGTTAAATGATACTTTATAATGTTATCCCACAAAATACAACTAAAGCTAAATGATCAGCCTGCTCATAACAGATCTCCCTGAAACCCATTATACTTGCCAGAATTTCTGAAAATACTCCATGTAGACTATCCAGAAAATGCAAAAGGAATAAGGAAAATAATTGCTAGACAATAAAGCTAAGGAGAAATAAGCACTCTCCCTGAATCTAGGGCGAGATGCTTAGCAGATTCATAAGCTTAACTTAGCTCCACACTGTCATATAATAAGTCACCTGCAGTTCTGAATGGTCGCTGTCTGTGCCTTTGACAACAAGATGATCAACTGAAGAATCTATCACTTTATTCCAAGGCCTCATTGTGAGAATCCCAGCAAACAATGCGTAAAGATCGTCTCCAGCACCCAGTTTTACACAGTTTTCCTTTATTCCATCTGCATCAGAGTATACCAAAGCCTGCAGTACAAACCGGGTTGTAATGTTAATAGAACAAGTAAAGCAAAAACTGAATGTACAACTTAGCAAGGATGTGAAAATCACCTTCCACAGTGCAGCATAGTTTATTCTGGTGTTGTAATCAAGTTCTTTGTATAAACCATGGTCCAAAAGTATCAACTGAGGTTTTCTCCTTCCTATGCAAGTGGATAAATATTGAGAGAGAGAATCTACAAAATGTCATCTTCATTGCTCAAGCAAACATTCAAATTTTTTGGCAACTAGTAGATGACTTCATATCAGGACTGATTTGAAGAGTGGAAAAACAATTAGAACACAACTGGAGAGTGGATTCTGAAGAACCACGTTGCCCATTACTGAGGAAAAAGGAGACTTTTGGATCCTAAATTGGAAAGACTCCAAAGCCGAACACTTTCAAGGCAAGGGACGAGAAAATAGATGACACACATGCATGAAGATACACATAATCTTTTCTGTAAGATTAAAGTGTTTTACTAAACTAAAGGGATAAAAAGGATACAGCCACATACGAGAAATTTAAAATATACAACCAAAAAGGTTAAGAGTTCCTATTCAGGATGCTCATACATCATTTATTTCATCATTTATTTAAGTTCAAGTTGGAACGAGAATTATGCTCTAAAAACAAACAAAAAACATCAGGATCAAGACCTCTTTTCAATGATCTTTTTATTTCCTTTTAACTTACCCCCCAAGTTAATAGTGCATTAGCACAAGTGTTTTGCTAGTATGGACATTGTTTTACTGCACATGTGTACTAGTAGTAAGGATACAATTTGATTAGGATTAGGTTTGTTCAATTTATTTAGGCGTCAGTTGTATTAGCTGTTGTTATATGTTCCTACACTTTAGGAGTTAGTTTAGGCTAATTTTGTTTATTTCATCTATATATAAACTCCACAGGAGTCTCATCAAAGAAATATACTTTCTTCTATTCTATTTCTCTACCTTTATATGGTATTAGAGCCACAAATACTCTAACAATTAATTATTTTCCTGCACATCAATGGCTTCCTCCACCCTAGTTGCTAATGTTAATGCCTAACCTGTCGTCAAACACTTAATTTAATTCAACCCAGCATCTCAACTGCTCATTAAACTGTGGCAGCCACAACTTCACTATTTGGACAGCCAGAATGTCATGCTACGCATAGCCATGACCTCTATGATCATCTTGATAGAACCAAGTTGTCCCCTCCGAAAACAATCATCACTAACGAAATTGAGACTGCCAACCCCAAGTACAAGGGTTGGTTTCAGCAAGATAAACTAATCCACAATGCTCTTATGGCCTCTATTGATGCCACAATCGCATCCACCGTCGCTTACGCGGACAACTCCAAAGCTGACTGGGATCAAGTTCACACTTCCTTTGCGAACAAATCGCAAACCTGCATATTCAGATTTCAGCCTCCGTCACCATTTCAGTGGGGTCAGCAGAGACAACAAACCTATTGTTGAATATCTGCATGAGATTCACTCTCTATCTGATGAACTCGCCACAGCCGGTTCACCAATCAATAACGAAGAACTTGTGGTGAAAATATGGAGAGACAACAAATCTATTGTTGAATATCTACATGAGATTCGCTCAGTCTGATGAACTCGCCACAACCGGTTCACCGATCAATAACGAAAAACTTGTGGTGAAAATATGGTGCTGCCTCGGTCCAGAGTTCCATGAGATTTCAGCAGCCATACGGGCACGAGACTCTCCAAACAGCTACGCAAAACTTTTTGACAAGCTTATTGATCACGAAGTGTTTCTCAAACATGAGGACCTCAAAAATAAAATAAAGACGACCACACAAGTCATCACAGCAGTCGGTCAACAAGTAACACATTACCAATCAGCAACACGCAATAATCGAAGCCCACCCAATAACAACTAGCATCCCCCAAACAGAAAGCCCAATCAAAGTGACCCTCTTCAGGATTCAAACTATAGTTCTCAGTGGTGTAACTTCCCACACCAACCCTCTCGAGTCCGCTGTCAGTAATTGGGCATACAACAAATGTCTGCCGGTCTCGATCCCGGTCCCACAACCATTTTAAAGCAAAGGCTATTTTTGTTGCCCACACACCGACACATGACCCCTAAATTGTCAACTTGGGTGCATCTCGTCACATTACCTCCCATACCAACTCCCTGCACAATGTTTGGAACTTCAAAGGGATTGAGGACGTGACGATGGGTAATGGTAATGTGATTCCAATTACTCAAACTGGTGCTACTCATTTATATGCGTCAAATAATGCCTTCAAACTCTTTACTGTTTTATGTACTCCTGCAATCAAGCGCAAATATCTTTTAGTTTCTAAATTTTGCCAAGACAACCTAACCTCAATAGAATTTTTTTCCTTTTAATTTTCTTGTGAAGGATCTGACTATGGAAACACCTCTTCTATGCAGCCCAAATAAAGCAGGACTCTATGAATGGTCGTCATTGTCTCGCTGAACCATCAATGTTGGTGTTACCGGCCCTTCCTTACATATGTGGCATTAAAGATTGGGTCACCCCCATTCTCGAGTTTTATTTTGCATTCTAAATAATTTCAGTCTTTTTTCTTTGAAAGACAAATTCACTTATTTGTAATTCTTGTTGCTGTAATAAAGCTCACAGATTTCCATTTTCTTCAAACAAATTGTCCAGCAAATCTCCATTAGAAGCACTTTACAGTGATCTGTGGGGCCCCTCTTCAGTGCTCTCAATTGATAAAAAAGGTTATTATTGTATTTATGTTGATCAGTATAGCAAGTACATCTAGTTATACACAATGAAAAACAAAAATGAAGTTCAACAAATGTTTCACAGCTTACCACCTGTGCTTGAAAAACATTTTGATACAAAAAATACTCACCCTTTACACTGATGGAGGAAGCGAATATCATAGACCCACACCTCCATTCAAATGGCATACAACACCTTGTTTCTCCCTCGTACACGCCTCAAAGGGTTGCCATGGCTAAAAGACGCCATCATCACCGTTGGGACAGCCAAAACACTACCTGATCAAGCTACCTGATAAGTCCGAGATTTGGACTCATTTAGGGCTTTATATATAATGATTTAGTGTCCTCAAATGCTTTTTTTTTTTTTTGATAACCGAGAAATCCGTCTGTGACCCGCCCTTTGGACCAATCACAGCCTTCTAAACTCGGTGGATAATGGGCCCGCCCCTCTACCCTTCTCCACTTAAATACCGGGCTTTGCTTTGCATGGTGTGGGGCTTGAACCTGCGACCTAAGCCACAAATCCTCCACCTTTTGCCACTTGAGCTAGGCCTTGGGGGCATGTCCTCAAATGCTTATTTTGTGCCAATAACTGATGTAAAACCTTTGATTTCCAGGTATATGGATCGAGGAACAAAGCAAGGACACTAATTTGCAAAAAGGAACAAAGCAAGCTGAAAGAACGAAGAAAAGAAAGCCTGGTGATCACCAAGTCCACTTGGCGAGTCGCCGAATTGCCATTTGACCCGCCTAAAGTTCCAGTGTGCCAAGCCCTGAAGGAAAAAACCAAGTCGGTGAGAGAAAGGAGCGGTCGGCGGATCGCCGAGTGGTTCCGCGATGCAGTGTTGGATCGCCCAAAGTTACTGACCTTGAGATGCTGAAGGCCAAGGCAGAAAGGCGATGGAATTGACCAAAGGGTGGATTAGCGAGCCCGACTTACTGCGCCGAATGGCTCTTCGCAGCATATTTTTGGCGACTATAAATACATTTTTGAACATTTAGTTTAGGATAGAATTTTCATTATATCGAATTGTGTTTAGAATTTTGAACTGAGAGACAAGTTTTCTCTAGTTTTTCCTTAGCTTTGAAGAATTGAAGTTTTTCACTTTTGAGAAATAGGAAGTGGGTCTTTGAGATTCTTCAACTTGGAACATTGTAAAGACGAAATTAATCTTACCCAGTTGATGGAAACTCAGTTTGGTAACGATTTTTATCTTTTGATAATGTCTAGCTAAAACCCCAATTCTTGGGGTGTGATTATGTGATTATGGGCTGATTTAGTTTATGGGTATGCTAATTGTTAGTTAAATGTTGTTAGAAGTGAGTGCAATCATTAATTGTGGTTTATTTTAAGAATTGTAGTTGCAAATGCAGTTCTACCCTTGTGTTTTTGGCTTGCTCAAGAGAGAGGTTTTAAACTAAGATTATTGATTGATGGTCAGTGGGTATTGGGTTGTCATGGGTTCAGCTCGAGAGAGTGAATGGACTAAGGTGTGGGTTGTTCTTATTTTGCATGCTTGTTGATGTTCGAGAGAAATCGACTTGATTCGGGGTAAATTGTTCGAGAGAAAGTTTACCTCCTCTATAGTCTAACTTACTCACTAATTTATAGCTATTTCCTAATAGTTGCAATTACCCATTTGTCTACATTAGCCTATAATCGAATCACATCCCAAGAACCCGTCTGAATATTGTTATTTCGTATTGTTTGTTGTTGTAGTTGATAGTTTCAAACCAAAACCCCCTTATTTGACATTCGTGTCACCCTTTGACTTGAATTATGTTTTTATTCGATAATGTCTATTCTTATGATTGATTTGACCATGTTCACACTTTCCTATTGAATCTTAAACACGTACCGCTCCCTGTGGGATTCGACCCCAACTCATTTAGTTGGGTTATTTACTGATTAACGATCGTTGATGCTTAGAATTGGATGAAGTGTCTTTGATAACGTTATTCAATCACTACCTTACCAATAGATTTTTTGGTCATTTACTTGCCACCATGCCACATATCTCATCAACTGTGTACTCACTAGCACCCTTAATAACAAGTCACCATTTGAAATTCTTTTAAATGACAAACAAACTTATTAATCTCTTCGTACATTTGGTAGTTTGTGCTACCCGTGGCTTCGGCCATATGGCCAAAATAAATTAGAACCATACTCCAAACCTTGTGTCTATCTAGGTTTCTCCATCACTCATCATTCCCATCAGTGTTTTGACCCTACTAGTTCCAAAATGAATTCTCTCACGGAATGTAAAAACTTTTGAAGATGTTTTTCCATTTGAAAGTATGTTCTCTCAATTGAAACAAAAAATTTCTTCTTTACGGTGGGAAAACATTTCTTCTCCAAATACTTCTAACCTTTTCTATCATCGAGAAAATACCTTGATAGTAATAACACGCAATTTGCCCCCACTATTCCACTAATGCGAGATACACACCAAGATGCATGCTCAATTTGTGTTGCACATGAGAACTACCTACAGACAGATAACTCCATAACTAAGGAACCAGGTAATATCCCCACTACATCATTACCCTCTTCTTCTAATAGGTATAGGCAATCCCCTGTTGCTAACCTTTAGCCCCATTTTGTTTTCCAAAGCCAATCTCTTATCCCCTCTACTTGTCCTATCTCCATGAATCGCCGCCCACCAATTACTCACGTCTATTGACGTGGACCACACTCATCATATGTACTACCACCCCCATCTAAACCTATTGTTAACATTTCACCCATAGAACACCATAGTGTACCAACGAGGTCATAAAACAACATCTTCAAGCGACGAAATTTTTTTGACTACACTACCCAAATGAACCAACCTGCACCCTCTATCCCTGTAACCCACAAGCAAGCACAAAAATTTCCATATTGGAGAGGCGCTATGAAGGCTGAATTTGATGCTTTAATGAAGAACTCAACTTGGGACTTTGTTCCACCAGACCATGCCCGAAATATTGTCCCTTGTAAGTACAAAACACGTTTAGTTGCAAAAGGGTTCACTCAAAGGACCGAAATTGATTTTCCCAAAACATTCAGTGATGGTTAACCACAATTCGAACAATACTCACAATTGTTGTACAGATGAACTGGCTGCTACATCAAATAGATTTAAACAATGCTTTTTCTTCAGGGGGAAGATTCAAGAAGACGTGTATATGTCTCAATCTCCTGGCTATGAAAACACACATCATCCCAAAGATGTCTGCCATCACAAAAAGGCAATTTACGGACTCCGGCAAGCTCCTAAGGTCTGGTACAATGCATTGACTAGTTCTTTGATTCAAATGGAGTTCAAGATGTTTGAGAGTGATATTCTCTCTTTGTTCTGCACAATATGGGGGCACTATTTATATTATGATCCATGTGTATGACCTTAATCACATGCAGTGATGAAACACCCATTCAACATGTTGTTACCTCTCTTTCGAAAAAAAATTCTCTGAAGTACCTTGGTTTATTACACTATTTCTTGAGCGTTGAGGTACTCACGGATGCTGATGGATTGTTTCTCAGTCAATCCAAGTATATACATGATATTTTACAAGATAGGCAGATGCAAGACTGCAAAGGTATTCAGTCACCTATGAGCATGTCCAAGACCCTACTAGTTGATGACGAAGCACCTAAAACTGATGGCAAAGATTACAGAAGTGTGTTTGGTAAGCTTCAGTACCTTCATTTACTCGACCTGGCATCACATACTTAGTAAACAAACTTACTCAGTTCAACACCTCCCCTTTTGTGCTTCACTGGAAGGCAGTTAAGCATATCCTGCAATACCTTAAAGAAACATACTAGTATGGTATTTATATTTCCTCACAGAAATCGACTGCTCTCAATGCTATGTTGATTGGGCAGGTGACATCAATGATCGCCAGTCTATCTCAGGTTACATTGTTTATTTGGGCACAACGCCCATCTCCTGGAGTTCTCATAAACAACCTACTGTATCTCGATCCTCCACTGAGGCTAAATATCGTGCGGTTGCTTCCGACTTGTCTGAAACGACTAGAGTCATTCACTTGCTCAAAGATCTTCATGTGTCACTCCATGCAACTCCCATAATCCTTTGTGATAACCTTGGGGTCACGTACATTGCCGAGAATCCGGTACATCATACCAAAATGAAGCACCTTGAGGATGATCTTTACTTTGTCCGTAACCAGGTTTGCAATGGATTGGTCCAAATGAGGCACACACACTCTGCTGATCAACTTGCAGATCCTCTCACCAAACCATTGTCCAAGCCAGCTTTCCAGCGAATGCTTCCCAAGTTGCGCATTGTCTCTTCACACCTAACTTGAGGGGGCCGTAATAGCGCATTAGCATTAGTGTTTACTGGTGTTGTAACATTGTTATACTGCGCACGTGTACCAGTAGTAAGGATACAATTTGATTAGGATTAGGTTGTTCAACTTATTTAGGCTTCAGCTTGTATTAGTAGTTCTTTTCTGTTCCTACATTCCAGGAGTTAGTTTAGGCTAATTTTGTTTATTTCATTTGTATATAAACTCCACAGGAATCTCATCAAAGAAATATACTTTCTTCTATTCTATTTCTCTGCCTTTATACAAGTAATTCAAAAAGCTTTTGAACAAACTCAAAACTAACTATAGGGGGTTGACCTACCCACTTTGGTATTAGGATTGCTCAGGTTTTGGATATCCGCTCAACAGCTGATTTTGGGAATGGTTTTTATTTCCAGTAATTTTATTTCCATTTAGCTCCCTACATTTCTCAAGTGATCTTCTACTAATTTTTCCTACTGGTTGTCCACACTTTATGGCCAGGCAGTCCCTTTCCCCTCCCCTCCCCTTCTATTCATATGGTCAACAAATAGATTCTTTTTTGCTTTTTGTTTAGTTGGTAGCACATAAAGATGTTCACATGATATTTCTCGTGAATTTTAACCAAAATCTTCAGTCATAATCTTTCAAAAGTTTAAGCCACAAACCTAAATACAAAAGTTTTTCAAATCCAAATCGTTTTAATACTAAAACCAAACACACACAATTGTTTCTGGAAACCAAATCCAAGATCAATTCTTTCCAAGCAAATCCCACAACCAAATCCAAATGGAACCATATTTAACTTCACATTCTAACTATATCTTGACCTATAACAATTGCAGTTTTTAATAGGTGAAATATATTCAATAGGGAGTGGTGGCCTGTGGGTGGAGATAGCCCCCCCCCCCTACAGTACACCCATCCATGCCACCTTATTTCCATCCTTCGAGATGGCTCACGTGAATCAAATAAAATAGCTTTACCTCCCTAACCTATATGAAGGCTGACACAGAAAACAGAAAATCATTTAACTTTGAGGTGTGGTGTAAGTTGTAACTGATACAAACCAACAACTGCAAGCAATTTGCCTCTAGACTTGGAACGTAAATTTAATGCATGATACATATAAGATATTTCAACATGGGATAATCAAATTACAGACTTTCAACTAAAGCAAAAAAGAACGACAACTTTCAGCAATATCAAAATTTGACTTGAAATTCCTTGGATAGACAACATTCAGCTGCTATTACCATCCAACTCCAGCAAGAAACATAAAATATTACGATAGAGATGAAAGGATTACCAAAAATGCTTCTACGGCCAGAAGGTAAAGGGCGGACTAGCAGGTTTGCAGCATGTGGATCACAATGCACAAACCCATGTTTGAACATCATTTCAGCAAACGTCTCACTAACCTACATAAGGTGGTATGATGATCATTTAATCATTACTTCAACTGAAAAGTATAAAACCATAAAGGAGAAGCTAACACCTATTGATTCACATTTTCTACAAGAACGTCATGAGATGTACATCTACACAAAAACAACACAAATCAAATGGAATGTTGAGCAATGATTAGCCAGCATGGTCCTTGCGTCAAATCATGAAATACCCCAGTAACGCTGAAATGTGAAATAGCATGATAGCCTATATGAGTGACAAAGTCAACCCAGGTACCTGTTGAAGCGAAACTCACTCATTCTGCTAACTCATCTATTTGAACATTGGAAACTGATAAGCAGTGGTGGAGCCGGGATTTTTTCTAAGGGGCTTCAAAATTTGAACAAGTAAACATACGAAGAAGCCAAAGGGATTCAACATTTACTATATATATATATATATATATATATATAGAAAAAAATTAATCTTCTATATATGGTGTAATTTTCCACCGATGAACCCCCTTGGTCCCACTTGGCTCCGTCCCTGCTGATAAGGTGGGCTATACTCTTGGAACACTAAACATTCAAAAAATATGACCAATATCCATATTGCATATACCAGAAAAGAAAGCAATAAACCATCTTGACCAAGGATACCACGAAAGCTTGTCATTATCACATAATGTCTTAATGTTGAAGCAAACTACTTACCAAATTTACAACATCACTTGGCTGAATTCCAAATCTTTGGATGCTCTTCAAGTCATTTACTTGTGCAGCCTCCATATATTCCATGGTTAACAGCCTTGAAGTGCTTAAATTCCAGTATACCCTTGGGGCATAAACGTAGTCTGCAATACGAGGAGACAGCTTCCGAAAGTTATCCATACATCTTACACTGTTTTTGGCCTCAACCAAAAAATCTAGTTCCTGATAGACATCATATAACTCATCAAGATTTTGTCAAAACCTATAAGGACAACTCTTCATGAAAATAAAATGTACAAACATTAATAGCACAATAAAGAAAATAATGCCTCAAAAATACAGAAAATAATGAACAGCAGTGCCTTGAAAGTGGAAACAAATCTTGAAAATTTCTTAATAATGTATAAAACAGATTATAGACAATAAGTAGAAGAGGATTAAAAGAGCAAGCTTAAGAGAAATTAGTGGCAGAAAACAAGATGGTTTGCTGAATCTTTGTAGATTCAGCAAACATGGAAATAGCATCTGCAATCACCAACCACACTAAAGAAGTCCACTATGTTCATATACCATCACAACAGGTTCTACATGTTGTCGCAAGCAAATAATGGTCAACTAATCCATGAACACATGCTAGATTAACTTTTGTGCAAGCAGGTGATAGAAAGAAAAGTACAGCATCGACTTGGTCTATGAAAGTTCAAGACCTCATAAGATGAGAATGAAGTCTCGTATATTTATAACATCAAACATGAAAATGGATATTCTCTGACAACTTTCAGGGAATAAGTGAAATACAACTTTGATTAGTTTAATCTGTAATCTCTTAAAGATACACAGTGATATTTCAAAGAAACATTTCTGCAGCCAAAATTGACTTGCATTCTCAGCTTACAAAATTGTAATAATCGTTATTAACTACTAATATGCTTTGCATAGATTGTCATGCATCTGGCAAATTCAAGGATTATGCCTACTTTCAGAATGTTAAAGCTCCAAGCATTTCAACTGATAATTAAAGTTTGTAGGACATATATTAGAGAAGTACATTGAATAAGTTTTCAAAAGCTTATTTTGCAAAAAGATTTCACAAACAGTTTTGTTTAATTAATTTGTGATTTGAGAGTGTTATCTTTTACATATGAAAACAAAATAAGTAGTTGTTCTTCGAGTGCTTCCCCAAGTATCTTTTTCAAAAGACTCTCATGGACAAAACAATCACACATATTTAAAGAAGCTACAATATCCAAACACATTTGCTGCTTCCACAAACTCTTTATACAAAAAAAGTTTCCAAAACTTTATCCAAATGTCTCTAATTTACTTTAAGGGGACCTACACCAAAGAAAATTTTCTTTTCAATGTGGAGAAATTTAAACAGTACTGAAACAAAGCACCAGCTAAGAGTATACTTTCTTCATATGTACAGGAGAAGGGAAAATCCCGTGTACAATCTGTACAAAATATAAAAGTCTTCCACAAATATATGACTTTGAAAAGGAGCAATCATATGTATATAGGAATTATTGAACGCACCAAAATGTTCAAGAAACAAAAATATTCCAGTACATGGGGACAAGGGTTCTCAATGCTTTCTCAAGATGCAGGTTTAGACGACATCGAAACCGAAGGAGCTAAAAAACACAAGAAAAGTTGGAAACTTAATAAAACATCTGTCCTAGAAACATGGAGTCCTCACAGAATTGAGAACCCATCATGAATAAGAGAAATGGAGAGCAGTCAAAAATTGATACTAGGACAATTTGACTGAGTTTCAGTAGCTACCTTAGGTAAACTTTCACGAACTTCAGCAACCAACCACCTGCATTCTTCAAGAAGCTTGGTCAGAAACCAAAGCTAGACCAGAGAAAAAAGTTTCATTTTTTTTAAATGTAGGACTCACACTAATTAGACCAGAGTAAATTAAATAGGAACCAGACATAGCATCATGAGTGTTCTTGAACCCCTTTAGAATGAAGGATTTAGTTTACTTTGAAGCACAAATCTGATAAATGCAACATACTATATTTCTATATGCAATTGAGGGGAAAATTGAACAGTACTATATCTCAACCGAAGGAGGTAGATATTTGTATACACTATATATATATATATATATATATATATAAACAAATGAGTCAAATTCAGATTGGTACTGGAACATTGGCTCATTGCATATCCTCAATGTGAAGTGAGGAACTAGAGTGGAAAAGTAGTAAAGTTATATGCAACCAACAATTTGGTGGTACTAGACTTGGAAGCTAACAGATATGGCCCATGGAAGACAATGGCATGTTACATTAAGAAGGTAACATGCAAGTTAGGCCTAGGGCTTTAAGCACAAGAATCGTGGTATTAGAATGAGGACACAAAAAGATTTACTAAAGTGAATCAGGAGAGGTATAGAAACTTACCAATAGCAAAAGATAGAGAAACATTTGAAGAGTAAAAGAAAGTGAATATAGATCTTTCTTAATGATTTATGTTATCTATGATATCTTCTTTTTCTTTCTCCTTTTAGTTCTTTTTTTGGGTGAGGGGAGGTGGAGGGTGGTCCCAAAGGCGGAACAAAAAATTTAGTTTATGGGTTCTAAATCACAATTCTTTTTGCTTACTAGAATCTGAATAGATTATGTATATATGTTAGATATAATTTTTGAGCCAGGGGTCTGCCGGAACAGCATCTCTACCCCACAAAGGTAGGGGTAAGATCTGCATACATCCTACCCTCCACAGACCCACTTGTATGATTACACCGGGTATGTTGTTGTTGTTATTGAAGAGAGCAAATAAAGAAGCTAAAAAGGCGATTAATGAACCCTGAAGTAAGCTTTAAAATTCTTATACCAAATATTACGAACATAAAAAGGAGAAAGAAATGTATAAGGCTATGAGCTAACACTTAAAGAGAAAATAGGGGTAAAGAACTTAGAAAAACTAAGTTTATTAATATGAACGAGTTCTTAAGAGGAAATAATGAGATGAAAGAGAGATGAAGACATTGTTGATCAATTTCTCAACAATTTTAATTTTAAAAAGCAAGATCAATTTCTCAACACACAAGAATAACTTTATAGATCCTCATACATCATTTATAAACACAGCCATATTTACACGCATAGAATTGTACGTAGTGAATGCCATGAAAAATGTGAAGATTGTTAGACTATTACATGGTTTAGGGAATGAGATATAGTCTCCTTATATGATTTTGGGTAATTCTCATCCCAGGAGTTAGATTTTGAGGTTGAGTTAGACTTATAAAAAGCTAAAAGGCGATTAGTGAATCCTGGAGTAAGATCTTATACCAAAAATACGAACATAAAAGGAGAGAAAGAAATGTATCAACTAATACTTAAGAGAGAAGAGGGGTAAAGAAGTGAGAAAACCTAAGTGTATTAATATCAACGAGTTCTTAGAGGAAATAATGAGATGAAAGAGAGATGAAGACGTTGTTGATCAATTTCTTAACCCACGAGAATAACTTTTATAGATCTTATACATCATTTATAAACACATATCCATAGTTACGTGCATAGAATTATACTTAAAAGTAGCGAATGCCATGAAAAAAGTGAATATTGAAAGACTATCACATGGTTCAGGGAAGGAGATATTGTTTCTTTATATGATTTTGGGTAATCTCACCTCGTGAGTTAGCTTTAGAGACCGAGTTAGACTCAAAATTCATCTTCTCAACATGGTATCAGAGCAGACCCATTTGTATTAGTGGTTTACATGATCTTGGGTCCCCATGCTATATTGTCTACGCTATAATGTTCAACATTGGACGTGCCTAGGTGTTAGACTACCCCACATTGGTTATGGGAATGGGTTGTTGTCTTCTTATATGGTTTGGACCATACTCATCTCATGAGCTAACTTTTGAGGTTAAGTTAGGGCAAGGTTCATTTTTTTTATCATGGTATCAGAGGTAGACCCATTCGTACTCTTGGCTTACTCAAAGTTGGAACCTCATGTTATGTTATCCACACATCCAAATATTCGGTCCTCGGCGTGCGATGGGTGACTATCTCAAATTGGTTGAGATAATGGAGTGTTGTCTCTTTATAGGTCTTGGACCATCCTCACCTTATGAACAAAATTTCGCCATTGATATCAAAAGTCAAAATCATGTTGGTATTTACCATATACGGAATTTAAAATATATTTTCCGCTTACCATATATGAAAGCACTCCTTAATTATTAATTCTCCTAATGCCTCTTACCATATATTTTCCTCCTTCCATATATTTTAGGACTCCTTAATTATTAATTCTCCTAATACCTCTTGCCATACAAAAATAAATTCACCATATATTTTAGGACTCCATACTTTTAAATATTAATAACATAATTGTTACCTTTGTCAAAAAAAAATATTATAAAGATAATTAATTAATCATTTGAGGAAAATAGCAAATGACAATTTTGTTTATTGTAGAGTCTGTTAATGAAGGGGAAAAAGTTCAATCAAACACATTTCTAAGGACCTTCACGCATTTAATATAACTAGTTTCACGACACGTGCAATATATCATATAGTATACAATGTTGTAAAATAGAACTAATATTACTAAATTAAAGCTTTTTAGTAAATAATTATAATTGAAAGAACATTGGACAAGTGCTTTTAAATGATTAATATAGATTGTCATAGAGTTAATTAATTTTTGAGACCAAAATGACCAAAAACAATTGGAACATTTCAAAATACATTCAAAATTTAAATATATGGAGAAAGAGACATTTCTTTTGTAGTATTGTTTTTTAATTCGCTCAATTTTGTAAATAAATTTAACTAACAAAATAGAAAAAAATATCAATATAAAAAAAAACTACCAATAGTCTTTCCTCTTGATGTTATGACCATAAATGATGGACTCATTTAAGTACAATTTTTCTCTTAAATATTCATACTTGAAATTTAGTATGTGCATGACAGTTGTAACGATTACCATAAAAAATTTAATATTTTATCTTTATACATGATATATCTTTTACAAAATATTATTACTCGATTAATATTTGAGTAAAGTTACCATAGAGAGGTAATTTTACAAAAAAAGTGTACTTCTATAGTGAATGTTAACACTGTTATAAGTAGAATGTTATAGAGACGTAAAAATATGACATTAAAAATTAGTTCTAAAGAAAATTAGGTTGCTACAGTGAAATGTTGTTATAATGAATGATGGTTAAATAGAAGTTTGAGTGTATGTCAAATATATATATATATATATATATATATATATATCAGTAGCATAATTTAATATTAACATATGAAAAACATCACCTATGGTGAAAAATATTTCAATTTTTTTAAGTTTCTACCATATCTTTGCGGAATTATAGTCTTCTCCTTTTTTTTCTAACGCATACATATCATATAGATCTTATCTAATGAAAGTACCTAGTATCTTATAGAAGTTGTATCGTGATATAAAACATTAAACTTTTTCAATAAAAAATTAATAGATGAATAAAATTTAAAGTATTATTTATAGAATATTTAATTTGATTTAAGATCATTTTATGATTAATCACTATTTTCATATCTATTTTATATAGCTAGCAAGGAATGTATCTTGTGACATAATATTTTCTTAGATAAAAATAAACACAAAATAACAGGAAATTCATACTTAAAAAGTTTTATACTCAATATAAATATAAAAAAAAATAATATATATATGGAATAATTCATAGCCAATGAAGAAGGAAGACGAAAATATATGGTCATGCTATATTCACTCTTGTGTTTCAGTTGATAAAAATATCTTGCCACCAACACTTTACTTTCTCCATTCATTTTTACTTACATATCTATTAAAACATAATAATTATCATGGCTATATTATCATATTATAAGTAAAAGTAAAAATCTATTTTTGAAATAGTGGACTTAACATCAAAACTAATAATTTAATGGACTACACTGATGCCCGTTGTTTTAGCAAAATTAGGAAGAAACTCCTTCGTTTGAGGGTAAAAGAATAAAAAATGGAAAAACAAAGAAGAAATATCTTACCCAAATCATGTGCCCTTTTCGTATTTTTTTATTATTATTGTCTCTCCCACAACTTGATCTATTAATTTTATTAGAAAAAATAATTCAAAATGTGTGTATTTTTCACTGTTTACTCATTATGTGCACTAATTATTAAATTCTCTCTCAAATAAAACACAAAAGAAATTAATTAAAGAAATAAAACAAGAAAAATAAATGAAAATCCCCGCGCACTATATATAGAAGTTTTCTGTGTGAAGCAAAGTTCATACCTAATTGCACATTTCTCAGTTCTCTTATTTTCATCTTTAATAGAAAGTCATTACCTAAATTTCAATGCTAAGAACTTCAGTGAAGCATATCAATTTATTTGGGATGAATCATTTATGAAAATTTTAAATGATCTTAAATTGTCACAGAAAAGAGATCCCCAAAAATTTTATAATGAGTGTGGTTGTGACTTTTTTTGACAAAGATTGAGTGTGGTTGTGATTTATGACCAAAGAAACATTAAGGTTGAGATTGTTGTGACTATTCGTAGGAAATTAGTCTTTTTTTTAATAAATAAAATATGCAGGTTAATTAAAAAGGGTATTAATGTTCTAAAATAATACAAATAATATTGAAGTATGTATGTGATAAAAATCGTAAGAAGAAAATATGAGCGTGAATTGATGAATGAATTGCTACAATTTGTTCACCAACTCATTCTTATGTGATACCTAACGAATTTCTAACTTAATCAATTGTTGCTAATAATATTTGAGATTTTTAGAGAAGAAGAAGAGTACAAAACCTAAAACAATCGTAG